AGGGTGGGGGTCCCCACTGGGGTGCCTGGCCAGCCTGGATGAGGGGCTGATGGCTATTTTCAGGCTTCCCGCACCCCCTTTAGGGTGGGGGTCCCTGCTGGGGTGCCTGGCCAGTCTGGATGAGGGGCTGAGGGCTGTTTTCAGGCTGGCCAAGCTGGCAACTGAAGCTCCCAGCCTCTCCTTTTTTTCTTTTTTCTTTTTATTCTGGGATTTATTTAACCTTCTATAATTGAAACTTTGTTGCCGCTCCAGCTCTGAGGCCACAGCCTGCTGAAAGCAGGTATCTGGGGTTTGTTTAGCTTCTATAATTGCAACTTTGTTGCTTAGAGTGAAGCTCAGAGCCCGGCCGCAGCAGGGAGGAAGCTTGGCTTCCTCCATCACTGGAGCAAGCAAGCCTCCTGCTCGCTTCAACTGCGTGGCTGCTGGCCGCCATCTTGGTTGGGTTAATTTGCATATCCTGCTGATTAGCCAATGGGAAGTGTAGCAGAGGTATGGTCAATTACCATGTTTGTCTATTATTAGATTAGATGTATCCAGTGCTCATCAGTCCTTTTGTCAAAATTTCTCAAATCTCTTGGTTGGTTTGTCCTGTGATAGATTCCTCAGAAAGGACGCATAATAAGTGTATTCACCAAATTCTTGTATGTTCAAAACCTATGCAAAGCTACTTTTCTATATATTTTTTAAATTGAGGTCCAGAGAATTTATCTTCTAAGTTAATTAATTGTATTTGGATATGTCTCTCAGTGTTGATAATTGTGGGCTAGTTATTTTCCCCCCAAGGACTTAGATCATTCAGGATGCAGGTTCACCTGTTCTTTTTTTAAAAAAAAAATATTTTTATTGATTTCAGAGAAGGGAGAGGGAGAGATAGAAACATCAATGATGAGAATCATTGATAGGCTGCCTCCTGCACACCCACGACTGGGGATTAAGCCCACAACCCAGGCATGTGCCCTGACTGGGAATCCAACTGTGACCTCCTGGTTCATAGGTCTATGCTCAACCACTGAGCCACACCAGCCGGGCATCAGCTCTTCTTTATTATAGACCATTTTCTTTCATTATAGTCTTACATCTTAGTCTTCTTACATGTACGTATATGTTTTCTAAAAATATTTTTTTATTGATTTCAGAGAGACAGGCAGAGGAGGAGAGAGAGATAGAAACATCAATGATGACAGAGAATCATTGATTAGCTTCCTCCTGCATGCCCCCTACTGAGGATCAAGCCCAAAACCTGGGCATGTGCCCTTGACTGGAATTGAACCTGGGACCTTTCAGTCCACAGGCCGACGCTCTACCCATTGAGTCAAACTAGCTAGGGCTATATGTTCTCTTTTCATCTGCTACATCTCTACTTTCTCTCTGATCTCTAATACCTCCTTACATTTTATTTTCTTGGATCCTTTTATTTCCATCCTCAATGTCCATTTCTGTACTTTCAGTTATATCTTTTCTCCTTTAGGCAGCTGAGATAATTTTGTCTTTTTCTTGAGTTTAGTGAGCTTCCATTGCACATCTTATTTGTCCACATTTTTTGTTGTTAATCCTCACCTGAGGATTGCTTCTTCAGAGAGAGTGGAAGGGAGGATCAGGGAGAAAGAGAAATAGAGAGAAACATGGATGTGAGAGAGCCACATCAACTGGTTGTCTTCTGCATGCACCTCAACCAAGATTGGGGAGGGAACCCACAACACAGGTACATGCCCTTAACTGGGAATTGAACCCAAGACACTTCAGTTTATAGGGTGATACTCTAACCACTTAGCACACCAGCCAGGACTTATTTGTCCAATTTTACAGTCAAAACTCAGTTCTCAAATGTCTCCCACCTCAAACAATTTAGTTCTCAACCAACTTGTTTACAGGAAAAAAAAGTCTGGGTTGTGGAACAAAACTTCAGTTTTGTGACCTGACAACCCTTTTATGATGATACCTAAGCACGACAAAAAAGCTTCTCTCAGGCCACTTACAAAGGAAAGGAGAAAATGTACATACAAAGGAGAGAATGATCGCCCTGACTGGTTTGGCTCAGTGGATAGAGCGTTGGCCTGCGGACCAAAGGATCCCAGGTTTGATTCTGGTCAAGGGCATGTACCTTGGTTGCAGGCACATCCCCAGTAGGAGGTGTGCAGGAGGCAGCTCATCAAAGTTTCTCGCTCATCGATGTTTCTAACTCTCTATCCCTCTCCCTTCCTCTCTGTAAAAAATGAATAAAATATATTTTTTAAAAAAGGAGAGAATGATTAGCACAATTTTAAAATATAAAGAGGCAACCAAAAGTGCTAATGTTGCTAAGGGTGTGAAAGAAACAATGATTACAGGGAATTAAAGAAGTAAAAAAACTTGTTGATTTGAATAAACAAAAAGCAGTTAGCTGGGTGACAGCATTTCAGAGTCAGTGATAGGAAAAAGCAAATATGCTGCATACTGACCTGAAAGATATCCCTGGACCCAGTGCTGAAAGTGATTCCTTTAAGGCTGGTAAGGGATGGTACAATAAATTTAAGAAAAGTGTTTATTTAGAGATTAAACAGTACATTAGGCATGTACTATACATAAGAAAGGTTAAAGTGGAATCATTTGTGGGTCTGGAACAAATTAATTAAATTTACATTATTTGTAATGGGAAAAAAATAATTCAGTTTTTGAATAAATCACTTCTCAAACAGCATTTGAAATGAATTAAGTTCCAGAACCGAGGTTCTACTGTATTTTGAGCTTCTGAGTTTATGACTTGTGGTGTTTTTTCATATCTTATTGATTGTTTAATCATGTTTAATTAATGATGTGTTGTGTTACAATTTCCCCCTGCTTTGGGTTTTTATCCTGTTTGCATTTAAGTGTGTTTTTATTTGCTAAAAAGTTCTCATTTTCCTCCTTAAAGTATTTTTGCATGAAGACTGTGTTTATTTGCATTGGATTTTTCGAGACCAACAATAGCAGCATGCCGAAACCTTCGTGGCGGGGTTCAGGATCTGAAGGAGGGGCCGATGCACAAATGAAAATGCTATACAAGAAATATGAATTTAGAAGGCATGGGGGGCCAGGTGGAGACCTCTTTCTTGAAGAAGCACTCCCGAGACTGAGTCCCATCTGCTTTTTATTCAGTTTTAGATACACATCTTGCCCTCTAGCAATGCATACAGGCATATCAAAGGTAAAGTTTGGTAAACAGTAAAAGGATGATCAGGTTAGGACCATGGTCGGCAAACTTCGGCTCGAAAGCCACATGCAGCTTTTTGGCCCCTTGAGTGTGGCTCTTCCTAAGCCTTAGGAGTACCCTAATTAAGTTAATAACAATGTACCTACCTATATAGTTTAAGTTTAAAAAATTTGGCTCTCAAAAGAAATTTCAGCCCTGACTGGTTTGGCTTTTGGCT